GGAGGGGCTGCATTAAAATGTTCACAGGAAATAAGGCATGGAGATGACAGGGGGACGGGGAGGGGCGGGGCTCTAGAGCACGGTTTTGTCCAGATCCACCTTGACGGGCAGCGGCCCCGCCTCCTCGTTGTCGTCTGCAGGGCAGATGGTGACAGCGATCACAGGGTGCAGAGAATAGGGGGCTGGGCCATCCAGGTCCTCCAGGTATTCCTTATCGCCGTTGATGCTCAGCGGCTGGAAGAGAATCAGAGCCACAGCGTGGGTGACAGGGCCTGGCTCAGGGAGGCAGGGCTAAGCCCCTTGACGGGCAGCGGCCCCGCCTCCTCGTTGTCGTCTGCAGGGCAGATGGTGACAGCGATCACAGGGTGCAGAGAATAGGGGGCTGGGCCATCCAGGTCCTCCAGGTATTCCTTATCGCCGTTGATGCTCAGCGGCTGGAAGAGAATCAGAGCCACAGCGTGGGTGACAGGGCCTGGCTCAGGGAGGCAGGGCTAAGCCCCACCCGTGGGTGCCCTCTCTGGAAGGAGGGGCTGTGGCAGCAGGGACCCAGCTCAGAGGCTGTTAGCACCCCAGCTCTGGAGTGTCTGGGATTCATTTCCCAACACCCCAAAATAAACCAGCCTGGGGCGCTGCTTGGCTCCCGACCGGCTGTGACATGCCAGCGCCCTGGCGTCCTGGGGACATGGGAAAGGAGGAGTTAGTATCTGGGCTTTCTCGGCTCTCCTCCCCGCTCCATGTCCCCGCCACGCTGGTCTCCACCAGGAGTTAACGCAAGGCAGCCGAGGCTGCGAACTCCCCCCAGCCTGCCCCGATGTCCCCCCGGCAGGCTGCGGCTGGGTTCCGCGCGGGGCCCCAGCTCGGTGGGATCTGCACCTGAGTTTGCCCTAGGATCCCGGCGGGCTCCCTACCTGGGTCTTGACGTGCTGGTCCGGGGCGGTCACAAGGCTGGCGCAGCTCAGCCACAGCATCACCAGGATGAAGAGGAAGAGGCAGGCAGCCAGGATCCAGCACCCCACCGCCCCCCGCCAAAGAGAGAGGATAAGTTTATGGCTGGGGACCGGGGGGTGGGGACCACAAACAGGCCAGTGAGGGAAGAGTTTCCCCTGGCTACCACCTACCTGCCTTCTCCACAGAGCATCCTCTCTGCAGTCTGGTCCCTTGCCAAGAAACCCCACCCTGGACCAAATAACCCCGCCCCTCACTCAGATAGCCCCACCCCTTGCCAGATAGCCCCACCCTCACTCAGATAGCCCCACCCCTTGCCAAATAACCCCGCCCCTCACTCAGATAGTCCCGCCCCTCACTCAAATAGCCCCACCCCTCACTCAAATAGCCACCCCCCCC